ACCTCATCAAGGAAAGCCATGTTCCTTTACCCTCAGACTTCTGACACTAACAGTATAGGTTTTCCACATCAACTCTCTAGCTCTCTTGCAGGCACAAACTGAGTATCCTGCAATGTAAATTCTGACATTGTTAATACACCCCCACAGGTTAAAGACTACTTCAAAACTGTCCCACTTCACACAGTGATCACAAGTCCCTTCATCTTCTTCTTCTGACTAATTGGTTATAGAGTAGGGCTTCCTGCTAACCCTCCTTCCATTCAGTAATTTGCCAGGATGGCTCCCAGAGCTCAGGAAAGCCCTCGAGTGCTCCAGTCTAGTAGAAAGAATGCAGCCTGCAAGCCTCCCTATTAGAAGAGATGCACAGGGCAAGGTACTGGGGTGGGGGAGCCACCATGCTCTCTCTGGGCACACTGCCCTTCAGCAGCTTGACATGTTCAACACAGAACCTCTCCACATCCCTTAGCTTAGAGTTTTCATGGAAGCCTCATCACCAGGCATGACCAAAGCACTAATAGTCAGTGATCAGCTCAACATCCAAGTACCCGTTCCTCACACGTCTGGGGTTGGGGCTGAAAGTACCAATGCTGACAATTGCTTGCTCAGTTCCCCTGGCAAACTTCATCACTCTGGACCTCTTTCAGGATCTGGGAATTAAAAAATACAAATATTGTAATATCAGATACTCTATCAGCTATCAGTTTGAAAATTACAAGAATTTTAGAAGCTGTCTTCCAGGAAGGGGAATAGAGATACCAAATATCTCTCTTTTTTATTATTTAGTTTAATTTGTTGTTATTATTATTAGGGCAGCACATGCATGCCACTATGCGTGTGTAGAGAGCTGAAGACAACTTTGTGAAGTCAGTTCCCTCCTTTCACCTTTACGATGGGTTCCAGGGATCCTGGAGTCATCAGGCTTGCATCAATGGGAGGCAAATGCCTTTACCCTCTGTGGCAGCTCATCAGCCTCCAGATATATATTTCTTTTTTCCCACTAACTTTTTTAAAAACAAGAATGAAGGCTGAAGAGATGGCTCAGTGGTTAAGAGCACATTCTGCTCTTGTAGAAGACTCATGTCCAGTTCTCAGCACCCACATTAGGCAATTCACTACCACCTGTATCTCCAGCTCCAGGGGATCCAACACCTCTTGCCTCCACAAGGACCCGCACTTACATACCCAGACACACAGACACAGAATCATACACATAATTAAAAATAACAATTATCAAAAAAGAATAAAATAGACAACAATGCAAGAAAAGGTTTTTGACCTAGAAAACAAACTCAGAAACTGAAGCAGTTCACCCTAAGGCCAGCAGGGATTATAAATATGAGAATCTGTAGACAGTGGTATAGAAGGGCTGGCAAGTACGTGATTTTCATATCCTTGACCTCCCTGCCTTCCGAGCCCTCTTCCCAGACAGTCACCAGTAATCTAACCATCAGCTTTTCTCTCTAGGTTAAGACCAGGCTTCTGGATATGTCAGCTTAGTGTTTTGATCTAGTGCTTGTAGTCACGATGTATGAAAACATTACTTTGCTTCCAAGGACAGTTATATCAGCCAGAAACAATAGGTGTGTGGGGACAGGGGAGCCTGCTCTTTCTTCAATAGGAAAGGATCCAAATTAAGAATTCAGCTTAAAAATGAAAAAGGTAAGCAAGTGAGATGACTCAGCCAGTAAAGGTGCTTGCCACCAAGTCTGACACCCCAGTTTGATCCCTTGGACCCATATGTTGGAAGGAGAGAACTGACTCCCAAAAGCTATTCTCTGACCTTCACACATGCAGGTTTTCACCCGTACATGCAGCTCTCCACACACATGCACACACACACACACACACACACACACACACTCAAATAAATAATAAATAAATAAAATGAAGTCCTTTAAAATGGAAAAAGTATACAGGTGATCTTCAAGATTTGTTATATGCTCAAATCCCTGTGTTTCAGAAATGAAGGATGACTTGAATCAACTAAAAAGGGGAGATAGCTCCATTCCAGGATGCCACACACAAGAACGCTATGCAGTCATCTGCCCAGGTGCTGAAAGTGATTGCTAAATCCTCAGAAAGTGCACAGATTTTCCAGTGGGTCACCTCACACTGTGGTGTATCTGACTTGTGTAAGATACAGTTACCAAAAATAAATAAGCACCAGTCTGAGCATTGATGGAAAGTTTAAGTGTTTGTATGTCAATCCTTTAAAATGAAGAGAAAAGCCATGTTACACACATTTCAGACCATGAGTTCCATCAGTCCTGAACCAGCAGAGGAGAGTGAGTTTAGGGGAATCTAGAATCTGGCCATGTATTTCCCATCAAGGAGGCCCCATTCATTTTGTTCTGGTAAATTAAAATACAAATCTAGATGAGTAAAATGATCAGGCTGTCTTCTGTGCCAGGGCATATGAAACCCATCAGTTTTAAAGATTTTTTTATTTTTTATTTTTTGTGTATAGTGTTTTGCCTGCATGTATGGATGTATACTATGCACATGCCTGGTGACCATGGAACCCAGAAGAGGGCATCAGATCTCCTGGAACTAGAGTTACAGGTGGTTATGAGCTGCCCTGTGGGCATTGGGAACTGAATCCAGGTCCTTTATAAGAGCAGCAAATGCTCTTAACTACAGAGCCATCAGCGCCAAGATCCATCAGTTTTGAGTTTTTTTTAAATATTTTATTTGTTATTTTTATTTTATGTGTATGAGTGTATTGCCTGCATGTATGTGAGTGCACCCGTGTTGTGCAAAGCCTGGCTGATCAGAAGAGGGCTTCGTATTCAATTCCCAGCACCCACATGGCGGCTAAGATCCATCAGTTTTAAAGCGCACTGCTACATGAGCACTGCCTTCACTGTGCTGTCTCCAGGGCTTTCTTCTGAGAACTGTCTCCACTGCATTCTCTCCAGGGCTTGTGTATTGCCTGCATGTATGTGAGTGCACCCGTGTTGTGCAATGCCGCGGAGGTCAGAAGAGGGCTTCGTATTCAATTCCCAGCACCCACATGGTGGCTAAGATCCATCAGTTTTAAAGTGCACTGCTACATGAGCACTTCCCTGAAAGAGAACTGCCTTCACTGTGCTGTCTCCAGGGCTTTCTTCTGAGAACTCTCTCCACCGCGCTCTCTCCAGGGCTTTCTTCTGAGAACTCTCTCCACTGCATTCTCTCCAGGGCTTTCTTCTGAGAACTCTCTCCACTGTGCTCTCTCCAGGG